TATAACACAGTTTTAAATTACACCTACTTTAGTTTTACAGGAAACTAATTTTGCAAAGTCTGTTAAAAAATAGTTTAGTACAACCTAACTACAAGTTAAGTTGATCAGAAAAATAATTCCAGTAATTTTGAACATTAGCTGGTATTTAACACTACACCTTTGGTGGGATAACGTCCAAGGACCTAAAACAGCAAAGAAATCTTCACTCGCTGGATGTGTCATTGAGGCAATAATGATCGAGTGACTTCTAAAATATCTGTGTACAGGACAGAGTGGATGAGTAAATACACTGATACAGCTGAGAATCTGAATTCTCCCACAGAAAAAGGAGAGGTCAGTGTGCTTTAGAGGAAGGTGAACTCCTTAGAGATTTTGAGTTGAAGGTATTGTGTGAATTCATGACTTGTTTTAAGACACGTGCATGAGGGTGTGTGTGTGTGTGTGTGTGTTTGTGGGTAAAGCTTAGCAACAATGCTACCCAGCATCAATTTCAAAGTCCAGACACTGTGTCACTTCACACTAAAACAAACCTGGACTCCACAATGAAACACCTGACTCTGGGTCTGGAGCAGGGAAGGTACCTGGAGAGTACAGAACATCTGACTGTACAAAATAGTAAAAAAGTACTCAGATGGCAGGCACCAAAGGCCACGGGAGCCAGCCTGAAGAACTGCCACTGACCAATTTTTAAGCACACAGCAATACCAAAATAAAAGGGGAGAAGAGGAGAGCACGGTGGCACACGCCTGTAATCCAGCATCCTGGGAGGATGAGGCAGGAGGATTGCAAGTTCGAGCCCAGCCTGGGCAACTTAGCAAACTCCGTCTCAAAAAGAGAAAAAGACTAAAGATGTAGGTAGCTCAGCGCGAAGACCCTGGGTTCAATATCCAGTGAAAACAAACAAATCAAAACAAAACAAAACACCACCAAGGTCGGGGATGGGGCAGGAAGCTCTTCCTTGAGAAGTCAGACAGAAAATGTACGTAGAAGCAATGGCACAACTGGGAAATCACTACTTAGCAACTGCCAGTGCGATGACTGATTCAGGAAAAAAATCATCAATAGCTATCAAAATAACTAGATAGAAAAAACTGCTAAAAAACAAAATTTACAGGATCATAAAGTACCACACCCACAAATTAACTATTAAATATACAAAGAAAAACATACCTCTAGAATGTAAAAATCTGGCTAAACTTCATGATGGATCTTAACATCACCAATGACAGGACCAACTGTCATTATCAGTGGGATGAAATAGAAAGTTCACATCACGTTAAGAGCTGAAAAACTGCTACACTGGAAATTGATTGTGAGAAATCAGATATATCAGTGTTGTGCAGTGTCCTACAGAACAACTGGTCTAGACTAAAAATGACAGTACCCATGGGGTAGCTCCAGGGTGGAGCACTCACCAGCACGTGTGAGGCTGGAACCCCCTGGGGGAGGGGCTGTCACAGATAAAACAGACACATTCCTGATTTTTAGCTGGACTCAGTATTTTGTGACCCTATAATGGCATTGCTGAAACATCTGGAGAACCCTAAGTTTTGCACACTGCCTGTACTAACACCATATGATATACGGGTACATGCAGGAGTGAGTCCTAATCTCAGGGTGAGGTACCATGGTGTTTCCACCTTGAGCGAGGAGAAACAGCACACGCGCATACTCAGACTCAGAGAGCACTTACACAAGTGAGTACACAAGTGAGGCGCGTGTTAAAGACGTATTGATCTAGGAGGCAGAGGGTGTATACATATAGCACAGGTATTTGTGGTACTATTTTCAACTTTTTTATAGATCTGACACTTTCAAAGGAAAAAAAGTTGGAGGAAAACACAGGTGAAAATTAAGTTGGCTTCTTCAGAGCGGCTGATCGGGCTTTATAAGGCCTATTTCTCTTCACCCTCCCACCAGGGCTGAAAGTTTAGCTAACTCAGGCAAAGTGGCACATGACTATAACCACAGCTACTCTAGAGGCAAAAGGCAGGAGGACTGCCAGGTTCAAACCAGCCTGCTCAACTTAGCGGAGAACTTACCTCAAAAAAAAAAAAGAACAAAGTGCTGGGGGTGTGGCCCAGGGCTCCCTTGGGTTCATGACCTGGTTCAATGCCCAGCACCAAGGGGGCAGGGAGAATCTGACCAAAAATAAAGATGATAATTCTAATAGTAAGTAATCACAAAACAACCCAGCATCAGGTTTCTATTATGGCTGCAGATTGAATCCTGCTGAGAATTCTGACCCATCTGGGACAACAGGAGATATGCAAATCGTCTAACACAAGATTTTCTCCAAGTCAAATCCAACTACCAAGCCAACTTTTTCTCAATTTGAGTTTTACTAACCCTGTCACACTAATCCAGAGGATCTTAGACCCGCTGCCACCGTGACAACAAACACTTTAGCTCTGTACCAGAAGTCTGATGACACAGGTACAGGCTTGTCATCTCATTTAATCCTCACAAGAATGAAACAGGTACCGTTATTACCCTCAATTTGTAAATAAAACAACAAAGCTACAGAAATGCTATATAATTTCTTCAAGATCTCAATGCCAGTGACAGCCAGAGCGTGGAAATTCAGGCAGTCTGACTCCAAAGCCCACACTGTTTACAGACTATAACTTACTGTGAAACGTAGAATTTAAATTGACTGTATTGATCTAGTATCTCTCAAAAATTAAACAGATGAAAACATTTCAAGGGAAAAATCCAAAGTATGTCTTTATTCCCTGACATACAATTACATTTACCTTCCCACCAACAGAATGAAGTTAGAATTTAACCAGATGCCCAACTTACTGCCAAATCCCAAGCAAGCTACTCAAATACATGGTTATAATACGTCACATATAGGTTCCAAACACATACCAAACTTTCCTCTAGAACTTTACCCCTGCTCATTTGAGAAAAAAAAGAAAGAAAGAAAATGTACTGCAAATATACCAGTATTCAAATATACCAAACTTAACCGTACTGTATACCTAAAATGTAATAACAAACTCAATCAGGAAGAAAAAAAAAGCAAATATACCAAATTGAAGCAATGACACAAAAGGGGAAAATAACTAGGCAACTAGCCTTGAACACGGGTGTCACAATAAAAATACTACTAAGCAAAGTGTGTCCTCCTAGCCTGGCTCTGACTGAGAGCTCAACCTCAGTGACCCACACAACGCCCAGGAACAGGGGCTCCCCTCCCACATCGCTCACCTGGCCCCCAACATCTCCAAGCACATCCCACCTTCTCAGGGTGAGATCAGGCTCCTCAGGACACTCCACAAGCGCCCCATCTCCAGCGGACTCCACCCTACTCTGCCCCTCCAGTCCTTTCCTCAGAGCTGAAAATGGCTGTAACTCTAACCTTCCACCGGTCTGCTCTCATCTGCCTCCACAAGCACAGCACACTCTGAGGGCAGAGGCTTTCTCTTCATCCCGGTCACTGTGGCCGGTCACATGCTGAGTGGCTGACTGTGCATCAAAGATTACAGATGTACATAATACAAATCAAGCCATCAGAGGGAGGTACCTCATAAGAGGAGTTCTAGAGTGTTAAATCTGCATTTTAACACCGAAAGTGAAATGGCAGTCCTGTTTAACTGACACTATTTTTTCCTTTAGTGACATAAAATAGTGGTGTGTTTTAGAACTTACACAGAAATTCAAGAACCTACGGCTCACCAGCCCCCTGAGCTCAAATCTGCTAACCCAGCCCGAGGAGGAAAAATGATCCAAAAAAGATCCAAAATCATATATATGTTATACATATACATTCAATTTCCAAAAATGAATATAGCTACTATGCATCACAAATATACATTAATAAAAAGTGGCAATCTCAAGAAAAATATAAAATGTTTGAATAACTAGCTTCTTCATCTTTTCCCAATAAAGAATTCTGTGAGTGAATTAATTCTGAAATATTATACACTTAAACCCAAGTCTTCAGCAAGGCGGAAGTCATTTCAGGTCACGTAGGGGCACTAATGGGACAGGTCACTGAATCAGTATGTACACTGTCCTGCTGGGCAGGTACTGCACTGCTTAAAGAATGAAGATCTAAGCATAAAAACTGCAATGCAATAAGAAGAGAAGCTGCAAATCCACTTGGGGTACACAGACTCGGAGAGCAAGAACAAAATTTCTTTCTACAAAACATCAGCCAAGAGTATACAAGGCTGCTTACCAAAGCTTTCAAATTATCTAGAAAAGCTTTATAACAAATTATCACAGAGGAATTTTCAATATATTTGTATCATATTTTACAGAAAGAACGCCACCGGGCATGGTGGCGCATGCCTGTAATCCCAGCACTCAGGAGACTGAGGCAGGAGAATCACTGTGAGTTCGAGACCAGCCTGGGCTACATAGTGAGTTCCAGGTCAGTCTCAACTACATAGTGAGACCCTGTCTCAAAAAACAAAAAAAATATTTTACAGAAAGAAAGCATCAAGTAAGTGGCTTCTACACTTTTTTCTAAATTATACAATTCTTTAGAAAGTCCATTTTTAAACTTCTCAACCGTTCCAACATTTTAAACTTCCAAACAGTTCTCAAGATTTTATAGCAAGTGAACCAATAATCAATTCAATATATCATCAGATTATCTGACTAATTAGAAACCCCTCCCTCTTCAAGGAAAGAGCTTTATCAATTTGAAAATACACAGACTTTACTTTTCAAAGCTTCTCCAATCCCCCTGGGTACTTCCAGTGACTCAGAATCTAATTACAAACCACAAGCAAGAAAGATTACTCCCTCGTGTGTTATCAGTTGACAGAATCACTGCAAAAATTCCACTAGGACATATGGTCCAAAAATAAAAACAGAAGAAAATACCCATCTAAATAATTCAGACATAAACAGCTCTAGGACAGGTATTCTCAACTCTAGGATAGCAGTAGATCCCATGTGAGAAAATGATGAATACAAAACAAAATGTTAGCCAAAGAAATCACAAGAAATAGAAATGCTAGGCCAGGCCTGGTGGTACACACCTGTAATTCCAACACTTAGATGGCAGACACCTGAGGTTCACCCCAAGTTCAAGGCCAGCCTGGACTACACAGTGAGGATCTATCTTTAAAAAAAGAAAAAGAAATACAAACTCTTAAGCAGAGTCATGCTGAGCATCTCATGTTTCATCTCATGTTTCATCCCAAGCCATTATAGGTTAAGAATGTGTCCCATCCCTGTCCTACATGACCTAGAGAATTAGAACAAATTGCACGGAGAAGCAGATAAGAGTTCAGCTGCCTTCTTTAAACCAGTCACGACAGAATTTGCAAAAGTGTAGAACAGTAGACTTACATTTTTGCTTATTTCTGGATATACAGTTGATTTCATTAAAAGTATGCTATTTATGTCATGTGTAATTATCTCAATATTGTTTAAATGCATTAAAATTTTACATTCAAATTTTTTAAAAGAACTTTTAGATTCTCTTTGGCAAATTTCGATAAATATAAGCCACATAAAGAACAGCTCTGCGGGATGTCCGTTAACTTTTCATTTTTTAATTTTAAGTTAACACATAATAAAACTGACTTTATTGGAATGCGGTTTGATAAATTTTAACTCTATATAGATTCACATAACTATTACCACATTCAGAATAAAGTGCAGTTCTATTACTTCAAAAAAAAAGCATTCTGGACACGACCCCAGAGGACCTCAGGTCGGTGGGGTGGGCTGGGAAGGGGAGTGGAGCCCAAATCAGCGAGCGCTCGATAACGCCTGAGAGCAGAGGCGCTCGCTCGCTCGCTCACCCTGGCTGTCACCGTCCGAAGCAGTGACAGAGACGACAACGAGGACGCGGGTGGGAGAGGACGCTGAGACGGTAGGGATTCGGGGTTTTCTGCTCTTCTAACGGAGAAGAGGCCGGGCCGGCTGAGCCCCGACAGGACACCTCGGGAGCTCAGGGAGGACGGCGGCTGCCGCGGAGGCTCGGATGGTGAGCTCCGGGCCCGGGACAA